GGTTGCTGTTGGTCTTTGTAAATGGGCTTATCTTCTCTAGTTCCTTTCCTGCCCCTTCCTAAGCATGGTAATTTCCAATGTAGATCATGTATTTCTATTCAAGAGCAATATCAACACTTCGATGTAGTAATAATATACTAGTAAGATTAGGGGGATTCAATCAATGCTTACAATTATTACTCAAACCATTATAGCATGGAACAAAGAAAAAACAGTAAAATTCAAAAGGTACAGGAAGAAATTATCTAAAGAAGGAATCCATTTAAAAAGACAGACAAGCAACAAGCACCAGAGACAACACAAAGTATACCCAAAACAATTTCAGCATTTTTAAAAAAATTAATCTATTTTACTTGCAGTATATTTTGTGGCAGACTGGACTAATTAACCATCCAATTATAGATGTTCATATGTTAAGACATATGTAAAGTTTGGCTGATAAAATTATGACGAAGAAGGCGATAACATCTTTCAACTATTTATAAACTGAGCAAGGATGAAAGTAGACATGAAATTAATATGTGACTATACTTTTAATATATTGTGGATTACTGGTTTCTTTTTAGTTTAACGAAAGCTTATCTACTATTGTTATGAACTAACTTTTTCTCCCATATGTGGTGAAGATACATTTTGAGGGCAAATGACTGCAGAGCAAGCCACAAGGGGGCACTTTCACATTATATAGTTATAGCTCTATAATTCCACTATAACTGCCAGGACAACATTCTCAAAGTTCTTTGGCTGAGAATTTTAAATATTCCTTCCTATATTGCAAATCCCTGATCCCACATACTCTCGCCATGCCAATTCAAATGGAAAAAACCACACTAGAGCTGTGTGATGTGGAAAAAACCCTGATGAAGAATAGGGTCTCACAAGTTTTACCTGCAAGTAAAAAAGAAAGCTTGGCTTCCCTGAACATATTGCATTTAACAAAGGGCTCCACCAGACTACCCAATAGTTCTAGGCATTTTATTTCAGGATTTCATGACCTGTAAAGCTTGCTTGCACTCCAGCATCCAGTCAGGTCCTAGATATTCCAGGATTTTTGCCTTAGTTTGTTGCTAATTATAACAGAGAGTAGCACTGCTACGACTTGTAAGGGCAGCTATCAAGAAACTAGACAAGACCATCAATTGCCAAGATAAATCATAGAATCATAGAGTTGGAAGAGACTTTGTGGGCCATCCAGTCCAACCCCCTGCCAAGAAGCAGAAAATCGCATTCAAAGCACCCCTGACAGATGGCCATCCCATCTCTGCTTAAAAGTCTCCAAAGAAAGAGCCTCCACCACACTCCAGGGAAGAGAGTTCCACTGCTGAATACCTCTCACAGTCACTTCTTCCTAATGTTCAAGTGTAATCTTCTCCTTTCCTGTGGTTTGAAGCCATTGTTCCATGTCCTAGTCTTCAGGGCAGTAGAAAACAAGCTTGCTCCCTCCTCGCTATGACTTCCCCTCACATATTTATACATGGCCATCATGTCTCCTCTCAGCCTTCTCTTCTGCAGGCTAAACATGCCCAGCTTTTTAAACTGCTTGTTCTCCAGACCTTGGATCATTTTAGTCACCCTCCTTTGGACATATTCCAGCTTGTCAACATCTCCCTTCAGTTGTGGTGCCCAGAATAGCACACACTATTCCAGGTGTGGCCTGACCAAGGCAGACTAGAGAGGTATCATGAATACTAAAGTCAGAATTGATGTGATTGTCAATGTTATTGCATTTCCAATTTCTATATATGATTATGAAACTGGACTGTGAAGAAAGCTGAAAAGAAGAAAATCACATCATTTGAAATGTGATGCCAAAGAAGGGTGGACTGCTTAAAACAGAAGTCAGTAGGTCCTGGAGAAAATTAATTCCGAGATCCCCTTAGAAGCTAGGTTGGCTAAACTGAAACTTGATGTACTCTGGATATATTATGAGAAGACTCACTAAAAAAAGTCAATAATGGTAAGAGAGAAAACAGTATGAAAACAGGAAGATGGCATTCCAGATAAATAGACTCCATCAAGGAAGCTGCTGTATAGGGTAACTTGGAGGTAAGGATAAGATAACTTGGAGGTTTCTCATTCATAGGATCTCCATAAATCAAAGTTGACTTAATGGCAGTGAACAATAAGAGCTACCGCCAATCTTCATTTTTTTTAAACTGCCCTTTTCTCCCACTTAAAGTTTGAAGGGTAGGATTTCCCTGCCTGAACAAGTCATTATGAGAAACTGAGACAATAGATGTGTGATATATTTTCCTAGCCTGTATCATATCATCCGCAATGGGTTTTGGAAGTTCATGCTAATAATGTAAATTGACAAGAAAAATACCTGGGCAGTAAGGACAGCCTATATTCATCAGAGAAAAGGAAGGAAGGAAGGAAGGAAGGAAGGAAGGAAGGAAGGAAGGAAGGAAGGAAAGGTCTCTAGAGCTGTAACTCCCTGTGATCTGTTGGAATGTGTGAGACAGTGATGATGATCAAGGACCAAACTCAGTCCCTAATGACAAAAGAACTGTGTCTAATATCCATTCAATAGGACAAACAGTTGTGCAGAACATTGAATTCTGAATTTCTCTATTGTGAGGCCAACCTACACTATTTTTCGGAGGGGGGGGGGGTTGTATTCATTAAAGAAGCTTACTACTTTATTCATGTTTTCTAACTGCACCTCATTAAGTGGTGTCAGGCAGACAAATGCTGATTCCTTGGGCTTCTGGAGAAACTGAGGAACATTGCAATTAATTTACTCTCCCAAAGCGACACAGCAAATTATGAAGAGGTTACTGTGAATCACCTGGAATTCATCGAAAGGCTTGCCCTTAAAACTTTCCCTAGTTTGAATGAAGACCTGATAAGGAAGCATCTCTCCTCCTGAGTTCCGTCTCTCTTCTGCTTACTGCTGTTCATTTGTAAATACAGTGAAACTAAGTAAATGATCTGTAAGCAGCTTTTAGCCTTTCATAGGATTGGTTCAGACAGGCAAATTGCTCCAGTGCTTGGGCAGCCCTTCTGAGAGGGAAAGGTCCCCGTTTTATCTGAAATTATGCAGAACATTCAGTTCAAAAGAGATAACACTGAAACAAGTGGCGCTTATTATTAATGTGAAGATCAGAGAAGGGGAATATTCAGAAATGGCACAAGTTTATCAAACTACTTCAGATCTAGAAATGGTTATTTTGAACTAAGGTAGAAAAAACTTGAGAAACAGGGACTGAGGAATTCAGATATTCAGGTAGTTGTTGGTAGCTCCTTTATCTCTTATCAAAAATGTGTGTTGGCTCTGAGAACGTGTCAGATATCCCCTTGTGGAATGTACCAACAAATTTGAATCATATCTTCATGTAATTATGCTGTATCTTCCCTTCCATTACACACCATTGACTGTTCCTAGCGGAGAATGGAAGGATTTTCAGTCATAAGAACACCAACCCAAGAGACAAGTAATACTTCACAATGCAGGAGGGAGAACTCATTGTAGAGCTGCCATTGGAGACACAAATGAGAAATGAACAATTAAACTACTTAAAAAAAAGTTCTTTGTTAGTAAGGTATTATTCCACTTGACACCTAATTAACTTATTGTCAACTTCATGTTTCCTTGACTATTTGTCTGATGGCAAGGTAGAAATGTTTGAAATGAATAAAATTAATGAATACTCCAAGTGAATGAATTCCCAGCACTTTTTGTGGTGAAACCTGTGACAATGTTGTCTGTTTTAGATTTTTTTGGAGTAGACATGTGACGTTTTCTGCTTTGTGGTAATCCATCATTTATATCAATGGGCCGTTGTTTTGCTAAATGGCAACATATGCCCCTGGCTTGCAGATGATGATGAAGAATGTGAAGATTTATTATAACACCAATATAACATTAGGAGTTTTGTGAGCGAGGGTATTCATGAATAACTATATATATATATGGGTGATACAATAAGAAAACTGGTTGGCCTAAAGCTTTCTCTTTGGACTTCACTCTGTTATCAGTAGCCAGGCGCGTAGCCAGGGGCGGAGGGGCTTCATATCATGATCTGATCACCATGCTCAATATATCCCATATGCATGGGGGTATTGGGACAATGATACAAAAGATTTGCTAGGGTAGATCATGAGCCCCCCCCCCAATCAAACTCAACCCCTCCCCCCAAATTAAACTCAGCCCCCCCCCCCCCAAATCAAAATCCTGGCTACGGGCCTGTCAGTAGCATTGAAATATAAACTCTTGTACTTCTGAAATGCTCTTTTCTTGGCTATATTTAGCTCTTTGGTGGGTAGATGCACCACTTTCTCAGCATATTCCATATATCCCATAATTCTTATAAAACTCCCTTGTTAAAAACACTTATTATGGTAAGAACCAACCTAAGTAAATTATTTCTAGATCAAGTTCATTTCAGGGGGAGAGAGTTTAATTCCCTAATTGATTCTCACACAAGAAACAATAAAATTTAAAGGCATTCATCTCGAAAATACCACTGTATATGTTGCCTTTTTCACTGCTATATGTATAGGCACAGATTATAGGAACTGAAATAACTATTTGCATTTCAATTTCTGTTTGTACCAGCATTATTTAATTAAATTGAAACGAACAGTTGTAAATTACTAAAGCTTAATTTCACTACCAATGGAAAACCACTCTTGGACTTTCCAAAATATCAATTTCATTAATTTCTCCTTTTAGTAGACAGTGTAAAAATCAAACACTTTGCGGTGGAATTTGCTGTTATAACAAATTAAAGTATACAAAACTATTCATATTGGAACCATTGCATGTTTTAATTTGATTTTAGGAGGTTATGTTGACCCATCCTCACAACCCAATAAGATGTGTAACATTGTAATCTATTATATACATAATTATTAATTTAATTTCTATCCTATCTTTTTCCCAGTTTGGGATCCAGGGTGGTGCTGTGTGACCCAAAGAACTGTTGCGAGCCATTATATCCTATGTTTTAACCAGATGACTTTTTAATTATTGGCTTTTGTGTCCTTGTTTACAGATCCAACACGGTTTATGGTGGCACCTACCAGCATGGATGTCACTGCTGGTGAGAGTATTCTTCTTCCTTGCCAGGTATCTCATGATCATCCGCTAGATATTATGTTTACTTGGTCATTTAATGGACACCTGATAGACTTTGAAAGAGATGGGGATCACTTTGAAAGAGTTGGAGGGGTAAGTATTGATATTAGTAATCCGACAAGGCTATTCCCTATGAGTGCTAAGAATTAGGATGAGCAAAATGGAAATTTAGCAAAATAGTCTTTTAGTAATAGTTACAGATTCAGAACACGTTGTCTGTCCTGTCAATTTTTAAGAGTTTTTATAATTGAGCATGAAGGCATGAATGATGTTTTATAGGCAGATTCCCACTCTTTCTATATCTTAAAGAATGGATATATTTAGGACATAAGTTGGCACTCCGCATTCAGACATCCATATCAAGAAAATATTCAACAAAAATTCTAAATAGCAAGCCTTGATTTTGCCATTTTATGTAAGAGACATCACTTTTATGACACTTGTATAGAATGGTACTTGGCCATCCACAGATTTTGGTCTCCATGGGGGATCCTGTAACCAAATTTGAGCAGATACCACTGGCCTACTAATACTCTGTGAGATCCCAAATGACACACAGAAAGCTATTCTTTGAATAGGAATACTGAAGTCTTGTGCATATCTAAGTAAGATTGCTCTTTAATGGCAATGCATAGTTGTTTAGGCAACTCAGTTTTCAAAATCTTTCATGCTACCATTCCCATCATAAAATACAAATTAACCCATAGCCTTGCAAAGTGTGTACTGTAGCCTGTGTAATCAGGGTTTGACCTTGGCTGTACTGAGGTTTGTCTGACACATATAGTTTCAACCATGTGTTCATTTCTATGAGAAAGCCAAGCAGCTGCTGTGGTATATTGCAAGCTATGCAACGAAGTTTAATGCCACATAACGTTGCAGAATGCTTTTTGGGGGGGTGGGAAGAAGGGTTAAACAGAAAACAGATCAGGTCCTTTTCATACATACTACAAAATCACAATTTAATGCTATTTTCACAAGATTTTCATCCCTGCTTTAAACGAGTCCGTGTTTCTTGTTACATTTTTAACTTGACAGAACTCTGGTTATCTTGAACCAACGAGAGAAGAGTCTGAAGACATATTCTCCCGTATTAGCTTCAGACTAATTTCAATATCAGGAAATCTGTTTTTTCCATTAAGTGGCAATGTAGATGGGATCAGTGATCCTATATTTTTTTTAGTAAGCATCCATAGTTTAAACCAGGGGTCCTCAAACTAAGGCCCAGGGGCCAGATACGGCCCTTCAAGGTCATTTACCTGGCCCTCGCTCGGGGTCACCCTGTCTGAACAACAACAACAACAACAACAACAACAACCCTATCTCGTCAGCCAAAAGCAGGCCCACACTTCTCTGAAATACTAATAAGTTTATATTTGTTAAGATTGTTCTTCATTTTAATTATTCTATTGTTTTAAAGTGTTTTTTTGCACTGCAAATAAGATATGTGCAGTGTGCATAGGAATTCATTCTTTCTTTCTTTTTTCAAATTATAATCCGGCCCTCCAATAGTTTGAGGGACTCTAACCTGGCCCTCTGTTTTAAAAGTTTGAGGACCCTTGGTTTAAACTAATCAAAGTTCCCTCCAGTTCAAGTATAATAAGGGACTCTGGTTTGAAACGAGATATAAAAATTTCTGAGCTCCAACTCATCGTCACGTTGACTAAGAAGCAAGCTCTTGCTCCTAGTCCTATGTTTAGTTTTACATTTGAACTGAGTCTGGTTCAGATTAATCCTACATCTACTTTGCTATTCTTTCTTTCTGTTTGTTTCCATATGATATTAAGCTGCATGTAACTGTACTTAGGACATGGCTGGAACACAGCTTGTTTTCAGTACCTTGCAAAAGGAGATAGATAGATATTTTCATTTAAAGACTTAATTTAAATTACAGATGGACATTTTTTTTACTCTCAGCACTTACGATCAGTTTCACAGAAACATAAAAGGCCTTTTTATTGAAACAAATAAAAACTGGCATTGGCTGAATAGTCATCTCCCATTTTTATTTGTTTAGATTTTTTAAAAAAAATTCCTGGCTTGTGAGGTGATCCAACTTGTATAATGACAGAATCAAGCCCACTTGTATAAGGAAAAACAAAATGGAGTCTTTTGGGTCAGGGATCTACATAGTAGCTTGCTCACCTCTGGTTGAAAAATTTCAAGTTGGGTTGCAGCTTATTAAGAGCACATGTAGATTCCAAACATAAAAACTTCAACTCATGTTCAATATTTTTTAGTTTAAAGGCTTCCCGTCAGAATCCTGCATTGTATCTTCTGTCTTGACTCTGCCATAGCTGTATTTCCCAGATTTAAAAAAAAACCCAGTTTATTATGATAAAACAATCTTCTACAAGGCTTAAGTAATCACTGTTAGTGATGGCTATTTATAAAGCTCTTTTGGGTTGCAAAGTGCATTACCATCTGTATTTTGTTTGCCCTGAAAGTGCCACTATAAACAAGTCATCCACCATGTTGAAATGAGGAGCTGAGATAAAGAGCTAGCAATATGTCCAAAAATGATTGTATGGTGCAGATGTTACCTGAACCAGCTGTCCCATAAGTGCTGTATTCATTGGACCATACTGGTTTCATCCTACAGAGAAGAGGGAAGTGTTTGTTGTATGCTTCCATCCCTTGTTCTCAGACTGGTATTAGAAGATTAAAACCTGTAGAAGATAATAAATCATAAAAGATTTCACCCTACAGGGGTATAGCAACAGTCGCAACAGCTGTTCTTCACAATTACACCAAACTGTGCCACAAAATCCCCCACATTTTATATATATATATATATATATATATATATATATATTCTTCCATTAGAAGATTTGCAAGTGTAATTATATTCAACTTGTAAACACTATGCCTGGCAGACAGCAAGAAAATATTTTTGGCTGTACATGGTCACAGAGACCCATAATTAGTTCCGTGCAATTACTGATCAGACATGACTGTTTGGCATTTGGAAAAAACAAATTATCGTTGTTTCATGCTAGGTGATGCAAAATTTCCTCCCAGAGTGCTGTCCTTGTGACCTTTAAATGCAAAAACTGTGGACAGTCAAAACGCTGGCTGGAGCACTAAGCTGGGGAAAGTATTGCAGATGCTTCTTAATTTGGGCTGGTCTTTGATGATTAAACAGCAGTAAGCAGAATGAAGACATCTGAATACCAATGAAGGCTATAAATTGGGTCTGGAGCATGGCAGAAGCCTTTTTGTTAACCGACAGTTGAGGTAAACTGTTTAACTGACCTGAAGTTCCTTGCATCGCTTACTGAGGGCCAACCCTACTTTCGTCTCTTATCTTCGAGGAAAGCTCACGTAGTTTAAATAGACCATGGCTTGCCTTACAAATGTTTTTGTCAGCTGATGTAAAATGAATCCATTAGCCACAGTGTCCTTCATGTGATAATGATGTTTAGAGCTCATTAAAAAGTAATTGTAACCACTTTTCCCTACTTTATCAGCAGGATTCAGCTGGTGATTTGATGATCAGAAGCATCCAGCTGAATCACGCTGGAAAATACGTCTGCATGGTGCAAACGAGTGTGGACAAGCTATCGGCTGCTGCAGACCTGATTGTAAGAGGTATTTGAATTTTGTTGCTGTTGTTGTTGTTGTTGCAAAATGACTGCTCGCACTGACTGCTGCTGTGAATAATAGCATAACACACAGCTTGAGAGAATTCACTATCGCTCTAACTAGTTTTCCCAAAAAGGTGTCCCAGCTTATTAATTTGTACAAACCACAAGGGGGAAAGGTCCTTTATCCAGCCTAAAACTGTAACAACAGCCACTAATAATTTATTTAGTTTTCATTGGCAGTTGAAATACTGCTGATGGTGTTAATTTGCTAAATGCTGATGTGGGCAGAAGTAGCATTTCTTTGAAAACAGCATGGTGTGATGGAATTCCTAAGGATTTGTGTGCATATCGGTAAGCAGGAATCACCCTGGGAAAAATGTGCTAACATGCATCCTCTGCGCAAATGTAAAATATCTACCACTGCATGATAAGAAGACTACTGTGATAAAATACAGTTGGTAATTCTTGGAAATGCATGATTTATTACCTTTGTGCCGCCGTTGCCCAAGGATAGACATCTGAATGTTGCATATGCGTCATACAACTAGCTGAGCTCACTTCCTTGCCCAATAAGAGTCAGAAGTGGTCATTATTTGGTTGCACATTTTTCTTTTGCTCAGTGTAGGACAAGGGAAGAAAGGTTATGTCTAAAACAGTTGCTTCCTCATGAAAGGTTTATAGCAAATTTGACTTGAAAGAGTCAATATCAGTTGCTCCCCTCCTGAAAATCAAATTCCAGAATGCTGATTATTGCAACATGTTTGATGTTTTATTGGGGCTTTGTACTAGCTATTATAAAATATGAACTAGGATAGCATTAGGATTAAGTTAGTCTAACAGTGATTTCTTCTTCCCTTCCCTAAGAATTATAGATTGAAAGATCACTAGCAGAGAATTCTTACTACTGCACCATTCATTCTTTCCCAGAATAATTTGGAGGGTGCTATGGCAACTAAATGTATTGGTATACATTATATATAACATAGCTTTCATGACTGGCATCTATGGTAAAAGCTTACATTCAGGAAAGCCGGTACTGTGGCAATATTTGTTATTTATTTAAACATTTCTATGCTGCATTTTTATCTGAATCTACAGAGGCCAACAATAAAAATCAAACATAAAAACCTGGACAACTACAATATAAAACTAGAGGAAAATAGCCCAAGAATGTTGGCAAATATACCAGTAGATTTCAGTGAACACAATCCAATTCTTCATCTTCATTGTGAGATGAGTAATGAAAGGGCTTCTTCGGAGTCTGTTCCACAATGTATTCACCATAACTGAGAAAGCTGTATCTTGCACTATCACCCATAGAATTTCAGGTGGTAGTGAACATATTAATGAAAACTTTGGATGCCTCTACATTGTATAATTAATATCATTTGACAGCATTTAATGGCAATGGCTCAATGTTATGGAATCCTGAGAGCTGTGGTTGGTGAGGCACCAGCACTCTGTGGCAAAGAAAACTAAAGATCTTGTAAAACTACAATCCCTATGATTCTGTAGCATTCAGCCATGGCAGTAAAAGTGCTGTCAAACTGTATTAATGATACAGCATAGATGCACTCTTTGTTGTCGAGTAGAATACTCAGGAAACATCTCACAGAGAGAGGTAATCTTAACCTTCTATATGAAAATATTATTTATATATTTATTTATTTATTTCACACATTTGTATCCTGTCCATCTCACCCCTGAAGGGCAGCTTCACGACAGGCATTCATTCAATGCCAACAACAGTAATAAATGATAAAAGCATTTAAAACAATTCATTAATGCTTTAAAATTACTAAAACATTGTTTAGATCATACAGGTTTGAAATCATAGTCCAGGTCAGTCCATTGTCATTCACACAAATTGGGTCTCATTCTAAATTGCTGCCTCTATTGTTCAAATGCTTGGTCCCATAGCCAGGTTTTGAGTTTCAGTCTAAAGGATAAAAGGGAGGGGGGCAATCTAATGTCACTGGGTAGAGAGTTCCAAAGGTGAGGGACCACCACTGAGAAGGCCCTGTATCTCCTCTCCACCACCTCACATTTGTGAGGATTGTGGGACTGAGAGCAGGGCCTCTCCCATCGATCTTAGACTTTGCGATGGTTCATAGCAGAAACAGAACTGGAAACCAAGAAGTTGTTTGAATGTGCCTAAGATGGTTGCATGAGTGAAGCCAAACTAGTCAAAGTTATTCTAGTCTTCTATCATTGTAACCTACTAATATATTAGATCATCAGTCTATAGATCTTTGAATCTATTCATGTATAGAATGTTAATTGCATAATGTCTATTAATTAATACATAATTAGTCCTCCATATATAATCAATAATAAATATAAATTAATTAATAGATATGCAATAGGGCCTCAACATTTACCGTTTTGGCTTTTGTGGATTTGATTATTAGAAATTTAATTAAATGTTCTCTCTAGGTCCTCCAGTGTGACTCAATTACCACATTCCACCAGAGAGTAAGCTTAGAGTCACACAATATGCAAGCAAAAACTATGCAATTTTGTATATGCAGTTTTTCCACTGTGTTCCTTACCCTAGCAAATGTGGAGGGATAACTGTATATTGATGGTGGAATAATATTAAGATGAGTTTAGATTGATTCAATAATTTTGATACTTCTGTTTAAACTATTTTGGTTACTAATGAATATCTATTTGTGTTTTAGATTTTTCTAATTTATTTTCAAGCATTTTCCTGCATGATTGCCTAGAAACCCCATGCTATATTTAGCCTCTTGGGGCAAGAGCTAGCAATATTGTGAAAACCAAACCTATCTCTTTTGCCTTTGAACAGCAAAATCCATTTGTTCCCGGTGTATTGTTTTATTCAAGCTGAAATTACTGGCATTAGCCAGTGTGTGTTCAGCCTGTTGGATTATGACTCTGGGATGGGAATGCTGTAGCCCTTGCTTAATGCCTTGAAAGGCAGAAAAGAAGTGAAGCTGATGGAGGGATGGGAAGGGAAAATGAGAACGATGATCATTGTCCATTTAAGAAGACAGCAGCAGTTTATCAGCTGTTCCCTCATGGGAGCAAAATATATTGTTACTGCAGTAAACATACACTCCATTTAATGAGGACGAGGGCCAATGAACAGTTTAAATACCAATAAATTAGGCTGCTAAATATTTTAAATCCATAACACTTGAAGTTCTTAAAGTGTATGCTTCATTTTGTGGGGAATAATGTTAAATTTTACTAGTATCCTTTTAGAAGAAAATATATGGTAAAGGAGTAGCAAATGCAGTTAATGAGTTTATTCCTTTGTTTGTATTTTATTTTCATCTCCCTCCCCCTCCCTTCCCCCCCACACACACAAAACAAAAAAGCATTATCCTAGCATACTGCACCATCTGCTGGATAGCAGGAGAGAAGACACAGCTTTATTCTTGGCTGTTAATAGGAGCTGGGGATGCAAAGGCAGGCACATGCCTACTCTATCAAACACAAGCTGACCTAGAACTTGACTTAAACAGAAGCCCTTATTGATCAATATAGTTGAGAGTCCCTTTCAGGAATTACTACTGCATAGCTTTGAAGGGTACCAAATTCAGTACATCATCATCCTTGCCTGAAACCTCCAGAGGATAAAAACAATAAGAATGTTCACACCATAGGGACAAACGAATTGAGTTTACCATAAGCTTTTTCACTTCTCAGAGATCTCTTACCCGCAGTAGCTTACTCTGAAATAAATCCCATAAGTTGTCAAGAAATTTTTTAACACCCAGCAGATGATGTCAGTCCCAAAAGTGTTTTTCCCCCAGCTTTGGGTGATTTTCTGCTGTGCCTTTAGCAGGAGAAAGTAAACCTTGGGTACTGCTGAATTAATGCTGTTTGACACTGCTTCAATTGCCATATCTCAATGCAATGCACACTTGTAGAGAAAGCTAAAGGCCTTGTAAACTAGAGTTAAAGTGGTATCAAACTGCATTAATTCTACAGTATAGATACACTCTTGTTACAGTCATTCATAGTTTAGCTGCGTCCAAACTAGACTAAGAGTCAACATAGTCTAGTGCAGTGGTTCTCAACCTGGGGTCCCCAGACGTTTTTGGCCTACAACTCCCACAAATCCTAACAGCTGATATTTCTGGGAGTTTTAGGCCAAAAACATCTGGAGACCCCAGGTTGAGAACCACTGGTCTAGTGGTTTGAGCATTGGGTTATGCATCTGGAGACCAGTGTTTGTCTCACCACAGAGCCATGAAAACCCAATGAGTGACTTTGGACAAGTGGCACTTTCTCAGCATCATAGGAAGGCATAAACAAACCCCCTCTGATCAAATCTTGCCAAGAAGACATTGTTATAGATCTGTCTTATGTTGTCATTAGTCAGAAAAGTCCTGAATGCACACTACTACAACAGACTAGACTACTACAACTTGCTCTTCACAGTGTTGTCTTTAAAGACAGCACAAATGTTTTACTAACATCAGATGCAGCTGCCCAGATGTTTCTACATTCCAAGGGATCTTAGAAATACAATCCTGTCCTTGTTTACTCAGATGTAAGTCCTATCTTCTTTGTAGTATGTAGGGTTACAGCCTTCATTGAAAAGTTCTCATTCCAGAATGGTCACAATGAATTCTCATAAACTAGATAGCATAATTTTATCTGTACTGGATAGCTGTATTTTGTAACATGCTGACCACTGTCTGAAAGAACATTTGAGGATGACCCTGTCAAAATGTTTTTTGAGAAAGTGAAACCTTAAATAAAAATGATGGTTTGGAATCTTAGCATTTTTAATGGACTAGACCGGAATCCTGTATCAGCTTACCCATGACAGTGTTTTTGTAGATTAATATTTACCTAACATTTTCTGACTATGTCCCTAAAACCAAATGCAAAATAATGACATCCACTGAGATGTGCCAGAGTCTTCCATTCTTTATGTTCATCATATCATATTAGAAAAGAGTCAAAATTAATTATATATATTATACCCCACATGACCATGCTACATTAAATATATAAGCCATCCATAGGGGATTGGTTCCTAGACCCCCTGCAGAAACCAAAATCCATGGATGTTCAAGTCCCCATCCTGACAACCAGTGGCTAAGGAACTGCCACCTACCTGCCTTGTGTGTCAGCTTCCATGGGAAGAGACCCCAGGGTGGCTCCTGAGCTTTTGAGCAGATTCAGCCTAGCATAAGCTTACTACGAACCCTTTTAGTTTCTGATCCAAGTAGCTGCCTATCTTCTTTTCTTACCTCTATTCCTCCCTATTACTCTTCTTGACTCAGCATCTTCATCTTCATCAAGGGAGCACCACAGAACAGTTTCTGCCAATGGTCCTTTCATGAGGTCATCATAAACAGCTGAAGTAGTGTAGGGATCAGACACCTCACACTGTTAGTTTGCAAATACTTTCCATTTCAGTTAGTTAACTCAAAATGTGGAATCTGCAGATACAGAAGTTTAACTATATATCAATGCAAACACTGAATTTGCTTTTGAAATGGACTGGTCAACCACAAAAATTTCCATTGGAAGACTGGAAATCTAGTTGTGTATTGTTAATTCATTTATCCAGAGTGTTTTTTTAATCACCTCTCCATATACAATGAATGTTTGAGGCAATTTGTAGTAAAGCTGTAGAAAGAGCTGAAAACAAAATAGATAAAATGCAATATCCACAAAGCACTCGAACATTCAAATCAAAGAGTGGCAATAATCCCTGACAGTTTGGCAGACCAGAGAAGTTCTTGCTAGCTGTTTAAAAGTCAATAAAGAACCAAAATTCCCATAAAAAATGGAGCCTGTAAGTGAGAATCATGACAAATGCAGTCTTCAAAACATGCATACATGTGAAAGCATCTTTCTGACGTTCTGACTCACAAGCTATTTGGGGCTGTATAAATATGATCCAGTATCTTGAATGGGGCTTGTGAACAAAAAAGGGAGCTGGGAAATCCATTCCAAAATTGGTATTTTTTAATCTTTCATAAAAAATACATTATTTTATTGTATTTGATCTACACCAGGCATGGGCAAATTTCAACCCTCCAGATGTATGAGACCTCAACTCCCAGAAATCCCAGCCAATTTACCAGCTGTTAGGAATTGGGGAAACTGAAGTCCAAAACATCTGAAGGGCCAAGGTTTGCCCATGCCTGGTCTACACCAAACAAAGGTGTAGCAACAATACCTGCTTGTGATGAATTTAGACCAGGAATAAGCTCAGGAATAGGCAGCTGACTTGTGTGGACAAAGACACTCTGCTTGATCATTATGAATCCAAGAACACCATGTGTTCAACATTTTATCTTTTAGGAATTAAGAATAAGTTGCATTCCCAAATATGGGTTGATGGTAATTTGGAAATATAGCCATGAGATTTTAGTCTTGTCTTGACTAAACTTTTTTAAACCCACAATTGATGCATCCAGGAACAGTTCATATTTTCTTCACTAGAATCAGTGGAACAAAGAAAAACATAGTTGGAGTGTATGGTGAATTAATTGTAATAACACAGAATAGATTCACGTAGATAGCATTAGGTCACGAAGAACTTCAAAAGATAAAGGGCAAACAATAACTCCACAAGACCACCTTCTGGCAACATTTAGTTAAATTTGACTACAAAATGATAATTTCAAAAGGATACGAGAGATCCGCCCTGCATAACTTGTGACCCTTGAGATGTTTGGGATTCCAGCTCCCAGAAACTCTAGCAAGCTTGGACTTCTGGGAGCAGAAATCCAAAACACCTGGAGGACCACAAATTGTGCAGATAAATGGTATTCATTGTCACTGTGGGATCCAGCACCATCAAAGAAAAGCCGTATTTCAAAGAGAACAAATCAGATTCAAACTGAACAGAATAATCAATCAGCATAACCTGATGATGCTTGTGACGGTACCACCCTCTAAAAAAAGGATAATTGTAAAATGGCTGTATTTGACTACCATCTTCCTAAAGGAGGAAGAAAATTCAGAAAATAGTGGAAAGCTGCTGTTCTGTACCCACTTATCTGACAGTAAGCCACATTTAAATTAATGAAACTTACTTCTTAATAGATCTACAAAGGATACATTGTACCACTCCAACTGAATGTGCACTTCCTTAGGAAAAAAAACCCCCATTGAACATATTGAGACTTTACAACAAAGAATTATACTGAAAAAAGGGCAGTCTGCTAACAAAAGCCCGAGTCTTATGTCTTCTTTCTTCCTACTTCTAAATTCTACATAACAATTTCTGAGAGATTCACTGGGATTCATGTTCCACGTGTTTTTTTAGCATTGCAAAATGCAGCTTTTTTTAAAAAAAGAAATGCAGTCAGTCAGAAGCAGCTCATAATCTGAAACTGATAAAAGAGAGCTTGCAAGAGCAAGTTCTGTCTGCAAAAGAAATACAACACTTTTATCCACTCAAAATGAAAAGAAAAAGATTTAACTTTAGTCACCTTAGTTAATGTTTGATGATTTCTACCAGACTACAGCTAAGGGAGGAAATTCACATAAGGGAAATTCATTTTTTTGTAGAAAACACCGAAGGAGATTCAGATCCAAAATACAATATCCCAAGCAGCCTGGTGATTTCAGTGTTTGATCCATTTTATATAACCTCTGTGCATGCCGAAAGCTCTTCATCACATACATTATGTACTTGAGCTGAAATGTAAATTCATACAGCTTCTTGATCTTAACTGCAAAATATTTCTATAGAATGGTATACATTGATTACATCTTATTGATTCAGTTTGAATTGTGTTTGCTTATTCTATAATAGGTCCACCAGGTCCGCCTGAAGCTGTGACAATTGATGAAATCACAGACACAACAGCTCAGGTCTCTTGGAGGTCAGGAGCTGACAATCGCAGCCCTATCACAACGTACGTGGTTCAAGCAAGAACCCCATTTTCTGTGGGATGGCAAGCAGTTAATACAGGTACACAGAAAACCTATAGCTCACAAAATATATCCACTATTAAGAGGGTGTTCTCCAGATATATGTATAAACTCATAAATATTCTGAGAATGCACATGTACTTTGAACCTTACTAATAGTATGTCTTAGCAAATGTTTCATTTAGGGCTGCCTTTCAAATACTTTTACTGAATGCAAAAGAATAATAATGAATACATCAACAGCTTTACAATTTCTAAGAAGACTGAATTAGCTCATATAGGCAATCCCCGAAATACAAACATCCGACTTACATGCGACTCCTAGTTAAAAACAGGGATGAGACAACAAGAAGTGAAAGGCAATTTACCCCTGAAAAGGGAAATTCACTCCTGTCAGAATTATAATGGGAAAAAATATCTCCACTTAAGTTTTATCACAAATCCTTGTTTCCATAACAAACCAACATTTTCAAAATTCAATTATCACAGGAATAGAAAGTGAGGTGAAATCTACTGGACAGGGACACAGATAGCAAAACAAACATTACAGGGGGGCTTAATCCTCCCCTAGGCTATCCAGAACTAAAAAAAATGGAATTACATTTTAAAGATGTACCTGTTCTGACTTACATACAAATTCAACTTAAGAACAAACTGAAGGACCTGTTTTGTTTGTAACTCTGGGATTGCTTGTATGAGTAACTGAAAAGTAGTCTGGTACATGCTAAGCAAATACAACAAATTCCCCTTCTACATTGCCATATAATTCAGATTATCAAAGCAAATAATCCACATTATCTGATTTGAACTGGATGAGTCGAGTCTACACTGCCATATAATCCATTTCAAAGTAGATAATCTTAATGAACAGGGCTTTATTAAAAACTGGGATTAATCACTCAAGAACACATGATGATCGAGATGTTACAAGGCATCTAAAATGAGTCTGCTTTTGCTAGTTTTTCAGAAATTTCAATTCAAAAGCTTTTGAAAGGAGGGGACATTTGTGAAATTCTTGTTCTTCTCCCTGCACTGATGCACTGATGAGCTTTGTCAGGCCAACTTCTGTCTGTTTCTCATCTGCCCCTTTAGGCTGTACTCTATGGTATCTTCATATTTCAAATCAAGATTTCACAGTGTTTCATAGTAACTGTTGGACACAATCACTAATACTTTCTTTACCTACATTTTCCCCTCAACTTCTAGTGCCAGAGGTAATTGACGGAAACACATTTACAGCAACAGTGGTGGGTTTAAATCCCTGGGTTGAGTATGAATTCCGAGTGGTTGCTGCCAGCCTTATTGGGATAGGAGAGCCAAGCAAACCATCTGAGAAGCGGAGAACCGAAGAGGCTCGTAAGTAGGCATGGAAATATGTCACTTGGCATCTCCATCTATTTTTCATTCTTCCAACAAATAGCAACATTTACTTGTTGTGAGTTCCACAATAGTCTGTATGAGGTTGAGATTAACATATTTAAATAGGTCAAACAATTTTTATTTTTATAGATGTACTATGGGTGCATTGGCAACTCCTTATATTGAAACTTAGGGAATAGAGTCCTTGATCAAAAAGAACAATATCATGCAGATCAATATAACTTCCAAATGCTATATTGGCACCAACCTATCATGTAACACAGCAAAAGCAGGCAGGGAGTATAGATTTATTAAGGTTATTTCATACACACACACACACATACACATATATATATACATACACATATCTATTGTATATTTATGTGCTAATATAAATAATAATATTTATATCTTTTGTGTTCAAGCAATAGTAGACAGTTTATCCTCATGACTTCTGAAAACATAATTAGTCTGTCTACTGACTTTGGGAATTTTTTTTCTAATTATGTAGTTCTGAAACAAAATATTGATATACTTTAACTCCTTAGTGGCAGAAGTACCAAGTTAACCCAAACACAATGTAACAGAGTTTTTAAAAACTCCCAAGTTTTAAATTCAAAATGGAAAGGAATATTTACAAATAACAAGATTGTGCTCAGTCTGCTCTAAAAACATTTTTCTGAAATGTTGATTGATGTATCTAAAAAAAACCCTCACAAATAACCAAGTTACTTCTTTATATCTACATCAAATTAATACAGATAGGCTAGCTGTCCACAGTCAAGCCACTGCAATATTTGTTTGTTTTTTTCTTTCTCAGTTCCTGAAGTAACCCCAGCTAATGTCAGTGGAGGTGGCGGTACTAAGTCTGAGTTGGTGATAACCTGGGAGGTGAGTAATGTTTGGATTTGGTAAGGGATGCATTTATGGATTTTAGAGCTAAACCTGTCAGATGCAGCTTGAAAATATTGTATCAGACAGCCTTTAACCAAGGGAAGAACAGCTTGTCAAATTATGGCAATTGTCTACTTCTTCCACCTTTCAGTTTGGGGGTCAATGGCACATTCATGGTCCAAAACGGAGCTGAAGACCAACAGGTCGCAGGTTCGAATCCGGGGAGAGGCGGATGAGCTCCCTCTGTCAGCTCCAGCTCCTCATGCGGGGACATGAGAGAAGCCTCCCACAAGGATGATAAAAACATCAAATCATCCGGGCATCCCCTGGGCAACGTCCTTGCAGACGGCCAATTTTCTCACAACAGAAGCGACATGTTGCTCCTGACACAATAAAAAAATGGTCCAAAGCAACTGTCATGGAACACAGTAAGGAGAAATAGCCCAAAGCTAGAAGTTTGGGATGCAGATGGAGAATCTGTTCTCTGGAATTCCAAAATCATAAATACTCCCAAAATCCAGAATTGTCCACATGACTGCCTGAAACACCTTTGCTTTATCGTGGTTCAGTATGAACAGAAATCATTGAAAATGATAAAATATTTAAAATATGGTGGTTGAAACTACCTTCAGGATACATGTATAAGGTATAGATAAACAAATGAATTTTGTGTTAGACTTGGAACCCATCTCCAAGCTATCCACCCTAAGTCCCCATGGGGAGATAGGGCAGGATATTAATAAAGTTGTTATTATTATTATTATTATTATTATTATTATTATTATTATTATTATCTCATTATACTGCAAATGCAAATGCAAACAGTATTCCAAAACTTGAAATCCCGAACAGTTTCCATTCTAAGCATTTTGGATAAAGGATACTTGACCATGTATTTTTAAATCAAACTAACTTGGCTAGCTAGACTAACACATGGATTCAAATGTACGCATGCACACATACACTTCAATTTCCTCAGTTTTTCAGATTTCACGGTGAAGTACTTTCTTACACTTACATGCGAAGCTTTATGGTTGATGAAGCTATGACACAACTGCTTTGTGGAATAGTCTACTTGTATAGCTTTATGTATTATTGATAGTTTTTTTAGCCTCCTCCCCTTTTCCTCAGGTCTGGACAATATGTAAATCCAGATCTCTGAAGATAATTGTTTCTCCATATTGGTGAAGAAGCACCCAGCTAAAACCATCTGGTCCCTGTAGGCAAGGGCACTCTCTTTTCCATTTTTATCTTCTTTAGACAAGGATAAAATAAAAAGGGATTCTTGAACTTTGCAACAGTATTCAAACATTCAGTGTTTACCTCCTTGTCAACTCTTGTTAGAGCTAATTATTTCCGCTTGATTCCTCCACAGAAACATTTGACAGCATTAGAACTATTGTACAGTATTTTATTTATTATATCATGTATTGATTTCGTTTATATGCTGCCTGGATTGGGACCCAAGGTGGATCACAAAAGCCAATAGCTAAAAGCAGCATAATTAAGAGTAACCAATTAAAATTATTTTAAAAATCATTACAAACATATAAAAATTAAAAATTAAATAAAATTAAAGGTTTAAGAGTTTAATATTTTAGCTCAAAAACTGCAATAGGCACAATGTATATATTTTTTTTAAAAAGTACCTCCACCAGCCCATCTCCATTCTGAAGTCCACAAGAGGCAGCTATATTCCAATTTTAATCTGGTTGGCTTCACTGAAATGTAAAAATGCCCTTAAGTGGTGTTCTGAATAATGATATTCCACACAATGAGGCTTTTCGTTTCCTTGGATTCCTTACTGAGACTAGATAATTGGAGTATATGCACTAGTGACCTAAATGTGATGTGATGGCTTCTGGCAACAGACAGCGTTTGCCTGCTAGTCTGCATCACACTTCCCCATGCACTCACTGTCATGTTGGGGTTTACAGTAGAGTTAAATTAGGTCATGCCCTTTCTTCAGAACTAACTGCATGCTGTGCCTGGTAAAGTAGAAAGGGCACACAAGGGAGCAGAGGGGACACTGGATAACACCAGGGAGAGCCTTTGTGATCTGCACAGCTTTAAAACCTCAGAAATAACGGAAGTTTGCAGTTTTTCCTGAGGATATAAGATGCAGCAGAATTAATTTTTGCTCCAAATCACTCCAGCTCATAAAAAGCCCAAAATTTAATGTAAACATCCCATGTGAATAGTAAGTAAGTTATTATTGTTAATGCTGTTCTGACACTTGCTCCAAATGGCAGTATACTTAATCTAATACTCCTGTTAAATCAGCGCAAGAAAGTAAAACAGGTCCATATTCAGGTAGATCACAATGATGAACAATGCTTTATGTCAATAAGAAATTAACAATTTTCAATTAAATATGAGCAAATCTCTATGAAAGGATATATGACAACTAAGATTAAGCCAAAACGATAACAGGCCCATTCACATTTTCAGAATGAGGAATTCTAGTAAATATCCTACCTTCAAAAAATTCTTCCCCACTGGAGAAAAGACAGAAGATGAATTCACCCACACAGTATCTGCCAATTTTTGGCTACTAGTACTATCACTAATACGGCTTTAGAAAATATAATCCATTTTGAGTTACATTGAATGGATAACTCTTCTGTGTCGTCCAAAAGATATCAAGTGTTACGCTCTCCTTTTGTTAACCTTCTCATTAGCCATCATAGTTTTCAAATTCTATTCTAGAGTATCTTGAGTGTACAGGAAGCTTATTGGTGTTCCTGTTTACATGCGTGGTCATAGAAGCTAGCTAACACGAAAGTGCTTTGTCTATTTCTACCTTAGCATCATGCTATAGTAGGACACCAGAGAAGCAAAGCAGGCATCTCACCCCAAAGTAAGGCATGGCTTGACCATGATAGACAGAAAGCACTGCTGACAGTGTTGTGGAGGCCATATCATAATGCACTCCATAGCATGGAGTGCAATGGGTGTATTCCCTCAATGTAGTCTGAAAACCATAGAGGTAAAAGGACATGAAAGCAGAGGTCTGGAAAAAAAAACAAGTGCAGTGTTGTTTAAACCACTGTTTCTACAACTATGTCCTGACCCCAATTATGGGCCCCTTAGTTCACTATTGGTATCCTGAAAATTTGGCAACAAATTTTAGTGGCTGTTTCAGACATTTACAGGAATCTATTGTTGAGTGTTTACAGTGAACTCTGCAGAAGATGCTTCAGTTGTACTTCATAAAAAGAAAAATCAGCCTGCTTAGCAAGCCTTTAAATGTCAATTTGTTTTTTTGTTTTTTTAATTAATAAATTTTTATTATGCTTTTCAGAACAAGTATAAAACACAGTATCGTCAAGTAAGGGGGGGGGGGAAGGAGGGAAGAAAAAGAAAAAAATATATAGATAGGGGCATGGGAAAGTGCCGGGGGAAGTGAGGAAGGGGGCAGAAAAGTAAGGATATGAGTGTGAGGGTGGGGTGAGCGATTTAAAAAGGACTTCCCAAGAGTTTGTGGATCTCTTATAAGTTGAGTGCGTTGTTTCTTTCCCTTTTACTTCTCCGATGTCTCTTCTTTAGATGTTGTTCCTTACACGTTGGACAGGTCTATCGATAGAGGGATTCTTTTTTCTGCACAGTAGTCTTTAAGCCCTAACCAATTGGGTTTTTTGCTATTATTGTTTAATCTTTGGGACAGAGAGTCCATTTGTACTATTTCTAGTACTTTAATCCATGCATCTAAGTCTGGAATTTCTTTTAGCTTCTAAAATTTTGCAAGCAGAATCCTAGCAGCGGTGCTTAATAGAAATATTAGCTTCTCTTGATTTTTATCGAATTTTGGATTAGAGATGCCCAATAAATAAATTTCTGGTAACATAATAAATTTTGTTTTTAATATTTTTTGGGTGACAGTGTGTATTTCTTTCCAGTATTTTTTCACTTTTTTGCATTCCCACCATACGTGGATAAATGTTCCTCTTTCTTTGCCACATTTCCATCAACTATTGGATATCCCTTTATTAAATTTAGCTAACTTTTCCAGGGTATAATACCAATGGTAAAACATTTTAAACCAGTTTTCCCTTAGGTCGCTGGCTATTGTGTATTTTACTTTGGTGTTCCATATTTCTTCCCATTGGAATTTGTTATCAGTAAATGTTTGATGTATACCTATTTTATTTGCATATATACCCGGGGTCACGTAAAAATTTCTTGGGCCAAAAGGGGTCATGAGTGGAAAAGTTTAAGAAGCCCTGAACTAAGCTACAATGCTGTCTGATAAAAATCAAGACAATTTTTCAAATCTCTGCAAAGAAGCATTTAAAAGATTCATTTATGATTATGGACTACTGAGTGACGTAAACATTTCCTTGTCCTTTCATAGAAGTATGGAACAGGTAAAACGCTCAATCATATTTATGAGTCATACCTTAGGAGGGGATATACAGAGTTTCTCTTTTCAGTAGTGACAACTGTTGTAGCAAAAGTAGAAAACAAAGTTCCAAGAACATGTTCTCTTCTGGATGAGTATACACATCCCTTGTGTGAATTGGATGCCAAGCTTTGTGTTTTTAAAAAACTTTTTAGATTTTTGAAGCTGCCTTCAAGAGGGCAAATGAGATGTTTCTCCCTTACTTACTAGATGTACACATGGATTTATTGTATCTTTTTAGGACACATGGTTAAATTTTATTACAGCTGTAACGGGATAATTTTCGGTTCAATGGTTGTTTCATTTGCCAAGGTGTTCTGAAATTATATTATATAGATTGACTCACTTCTCAAAGATGCATTTCCTGTGCCTTTTTGTAAGTTCATTGTACATATTAGGCTACTTTCATGTTTCTCATCTTGTTACAGACAGTTCCTGAAGAGTTACAGAATGGAGGTGGATTTGGTTATGTGGTTGCTTTTCGTCCAGTTGGCACGATTAGTTGGATGCAGACAGTAGTGGCTTCTCCAGATGCCTCCAAGTATGTGTTTCGGAATGAGAGCCTACCACCATTTTCACCATATGAAGTTAAAGTGGGTGTGTACAACAACAGAGGCGAAGGTCCGTTCAGCCACGTTACAGTTGTTTATTCAGCTGATGAAGGTAAAGTCTTTCCTGAGGACAGACTAGCAGTGCTGCATTTCTGACATGCTGCTTGTGTATGAAACATCCTTATATGTATATTATTATTAGCATGTTCAGATGATGTCAATACCCGCTTATAAAAATGGCATGTATCCAATTTTAGATTTCATCTTGTGTAAATGCATATTAATTATGATGACATTATCATTGATCATGTGCTTCAAAGAGAGTGAGAGCAGCAATTTTAGCAACAACCTATATTAAATTGTTCTCAAGCCAGAACAATTGAATTTTTAATTCTATGTTTAATAGCAACAGGATAGTTCTATTAAGGTTGGCAATATGCCCCAGTGGTATGTGTGTACAAATGAGTTAAATGTTTGTTCAAAGATAGTGTTAGTTATGATTATAATAACATAGCCCTTTGGTGCTTTCCAAATATGCTGGATCACCACTCCACTTATTCCCACTGGCTACACTGACTGTTGGATGAAAGGAACTTTATGTGGAGGACAGCAAGTTTCAGAAGGCAGTAACAAAATATTTGTGTTTGCATTATAGTTTTTTGATAGCTATTAACTCAGGGGTTCCCAAACTTAGGCCCATGGGCTGGAAGCAGCCACCCCTTGCCCTAAACTTTAGACTTAGGGTCACCCTAAGTCTGAAACAACTTGAAGACACACAACAACAACAATCTTAATTAACTTGACTGTCTCATCAGTCAAAAGCAGGCCCACACTTCCCATTGAAATACTGGCAAGTTTATGCTGGTTAAAATTGTTCTTCATTTTAAATATTGTATTGTTTTTTCATGGTTGTTTGTACTACAAATAAGGTATGTCCAGTGTGCATATGATTTTTTTTCAAACTATAGTCTGCCCCCCCCCCCCCCCCCCCCCCCCACAACATCTGAGGGAGAGTGAACTGGCCCTCTACTTTAAAAATGAGGACTTCTGCTCTGTAACTACACCCCGGCTTTTACATTGATTCCAAAGAGTTGTGATGGAGAAGAGGTGTGACCATTAACATGAACTTACCACCAAACCATTGTTCTTTCTTTTTAGAACCCAACAAAGCTCCAACCAGCATCTTTGCCAGAAGCTTGTCTGCTTCAGAAGTAGAAGTATTTTGGTCCATGTTGCCAGAAATGCAGAGTAAAGGAAGAATACAGGGCTATGAGGTAGGAACACAAAAGGCACTAACTGCCTGAAGTAAATTGCTCTGTTCAACAGCCTTATCTTAAACACTATTTATAACTATATGGAACACCTTTCACTCCAGGCTCATGTCTCTTTGTCTCTTCTCTCTTTGTTTAACCCAAGGGCAAGGTTGCTTAAGGGAAATAAAATGATCTGCAAAATGGATCCATGCCCTCTCCATTTTGAGGATCACTTTAATTTCTCTAAGCAGCTAATGCTTACCTAACCTTGTATCTAATGGGGCAGGCTTGCAACCTAGCAATGCCACTCATAGGTTTAGGTCAGACAGACATTGAACATTAACAAGAAAAAAGTATTATAACAAGGCTTCTATATAACACCAGCAAAACTAGGCAAACTAACTAGTCTGAATCACTATGTGTCAGAAATGTATCAAATCAAATGAAGTCTTTATTTATGGTCAGTGACTAGTATAGAATCACCCATCCACATCGGTACAGTGTTTACATTAGGTTAGGATATACATAAAAATTTAACCCCATTTAAAGGATACTTATAAAAACCTACTATTACAGGTTTTTAAAAGATAACTATACCTTAAAACTATATCATGTCAAAAACATCTCAACCCATACTATCCAACTGCTGGACACAGTTACATCTTTCCTTTCCCCTCCTTTCTCCAAATAATTAAACTTCCAAATAACTCATTACATATAAGATAAAGATTGCATTCATTATGCCCCTCAACTTCTACTTGGTTCAAATCCAAACTCTTCTCAGCTCCCTATGTGTGTGTGCTTTCCTTCCGGGCTTTGAAGAGAAGTGGGCAACTAATTACCGTTGTTATTATTAAACTACATTATAATTTATTATCTTCCTGATCTAAAACTTCACTAACTGTCTTATCATTACTTCTCTCGCTATTATGAACCTTTACTAAACTGACTCTTTAACTACCAACTACTTTTCAACTCACCCTCCCTTTCTTCCACCATTCTGTGGGATGTAGTGCACTCACTTCTAAAATGGGTGAACTTCAGCTCCTGTGTCCATTACATTGTTTTTCATCCGAAATAGGCATAAAAGTATGGAAAGTGTGTTTAAATTGTCTAAACCCCAAAACACGAATTCAATTGATGTTTCAGTGGTCTTCTGCATGTGATTGCCATTTGTATTACATCATGTATGAGAAATAATTGAAGAATCCACAAATAAAGAGATCAAAAATACTCAACACACAACCTAGGACCACAACTTTACTAGAAGCAGTTTTGGTGCATACTACATTTTAAATTTGAGCCACCTTCTCACATACATAGTAAGCATCCTCCTCCCTCAAAGTTTAGTACCACATTCAAAAAATATAGAACTAGACATTAAAATAGGAAATGGCCTTTGCAGGGGGACTGTCCTCTGCTGCGGGTCTGTGAAGACAACGATATCTGGTAATCAAGGGGAATGTTTAAGGGCTATAAAGTTGACCTTCATAAAGATTGCTGCAGTAGTCAGATGTGCTGACTGCTGGTTTTATGCATGAAAGGACTATCCTGAATAGTTGTAACCTCCTGGTATGAAGGCAATGGTAAGATTTGTTGAGAGGTACTAAAACAAAAACCCTACAATGATTATGTCTTCTAAGGCAGGTTAGATATTTTTTTCCAATAGTCAAAGTCATTTCATGACTGATGTAAAAGTCATATGAAGGCTGTCTTTTTACATAAAATAGATTCTTGACACCCCTGTTCCATAAAATATCTGAACACCTCAAATGACCATTAGTTTCAATTGATGCATCTGTGGACCATCATGGTTCACAAGTTGCTATGTGACCATTATAAGTCTGAGTTTTCTAATGTCAAGAAACCTCAAATAATGTGTTGTACATATTTGGCTCAAAGCAGAATTGTTCCAAGAAGACATTTACTTTTAGATGGCACAGAGAAGAGAATAATTCTTGATGACAGGAAACTAGGGCAATCGATTTGGGAATGCACTTGAAATGTTATCAGATATAGATTTGACAATACAAATCTAATTCTTGTGTGTATGGTGTTCTCCCAGAAGATATCTTCTGCTCTTTGCTTTCTTTCTTGTTCGATGTATAGTCCGCCATTCTCCAGGAATGGCACTCAACTTACAATAACACAGAATAATAGAAAGAATGCAGCCATGCAGCTGGACAGTTCAAAATAAAAAGCATGCATTTTATTTGTGCAGGTTAGATACTGGAGACATGGAGATAAAGAGGAGCAAGCTAGAAGAATAAAAACCATGACCAACCAAACATTTGCTAAAATCAGCAACTTGAAGGGCAATGCATTGTACCACTTAGCCATCAAAGCTTACAACACTGCAGGGATGGGACCTTCCAGCGCTGTAGTCAATGTAACAACCAAGAAGCCACGTGAGTGCTGAAGGAGCTCGTCTTTCATATTACTGACTTGCTCAAATTTGCTTTTGCATATGTACCGTTAAGATGATAGCTGTATCTGTAATTTTATTCATTGAGATACACAAAATAGGACATGACAAATATGTATCTTCCTGCTACTCGTCAACACTTATTCAAATTATATCTTCTAATGGTTATATGTGTTTGTCCAAGAAGTCATTGTTTCCCCTTGACATTAAGTCTAGTTGTGTCCAACTCTGAGGGGGGGGGGGTGCTCATCTCCATTTCTTAGATACCTCTAAGGTCATGTGGTTGGCATGACTGCATGGAATGCCATTACCTTCCCACTGGAGCGGTACCTATTGATCTACTCACATTTACATGTTTTTGAACTGCTAGGTTGACAGAAACTGGGGCTAACAGTGGGAGTTCACCTCGCTCTCTGGATTCGAGCTGCCGACCTTTCAGTCAGCAAGTTCAGCAGCTCAGTGGTTTAACCCACTACACCACCGGGAGCTCCAACAACTCATTAACTCATTAAATCAAGGAGTTCACATCTCCACAGAAATTATAAAAGTGTTTCAACAAAGAAAATCTTACTAACTAGTAATATTCTATGTCTTATTTTTTACTATTAGCACCAAGCCAACCACCTGGAAATATCATATGGAATTCATCAGACTCAAAGATTATATTGAACTGGGATCAAGTGAAAGCACAGAATAATGAATCTGAGGTGAAAGGATACAAAGTAGGTAATAGGCAGCAACGGATCCAATGACTTGTCATTATAGCCAGACACTGAGTTGTCTCATAGCATTAAATTTACTATGCAACAGGTTAATTACAGGTGACCATGTAAGTTGAATAATGGAATAGAAACTGAGATATTCACTTGGGTTGTGATCCTAAGCAATCTACTGTTAAAGTCAGCAGCATTTCTTGTCAGTAAATATGTAAAGGATTAGATTGACTGTGTTCTGTGTATGATTCCAATGACTACAAAACATCATTCAAATGTTTGCAATAATTAATGTTTCTGTGATGAGCAGACATAAAAGATTTCAACACCAGGGCAAAACATGACTGCAGATAAATTGATGAGTAGCAATACCCTATTAATCAATTTATTCCATATGTTTAGAGTGAGCTTGAGACTTCCTACTTATTCTGATGAGAGATAGTTATTTTGCACTGTTGCAGCGGTATGAAAGATGCTGTGTATATAAAAATGTCAAAATGGCCCTGCTGGATCAGATAGTTGACAGCCAGATTCCTCTGGAAAGTTCAAAAGCAGGACATGACTATAACAGCACTCACCAAATTTCTCTTTGTCTGTCCTAAATCTCCCACCACTCAGGTTTAGTGGATGGTTCTCATTTACTCATATGGAGAGGAACTTAGCCACCTTGAGTCCCTTTGGGGAGAAAGGAGGGATAGAAATTTATTTATCTATCGTGTCTGAAGCAAGTTGAGGGTACAGTTAAATGCATTTTAAAAAACACAAAGTTTTAAAGACTTAGCATTATGCTAAATATCTTTTGAAAAGAAGCTGGCCACTTGGAGTGTCTCTGGCGTTCTTGTGAGAAGGTCCTCCATTGTGCATGTGGTAGGGCTCAGGTTGCATTGTAGTAGGTGGTCTGTGGTTTGCTCTTCTCCACAGACACGTAGAAATAATAATTAAAAAACCCTATCCTGTCTTTTTAAAACATTTAGATAGGCTATGAGAGAATTCTGCCAGTGTTTCTATGTTTCTAGTAAGTTCTTTGACTGCCTGGTTTTTTTTGGGGGGGGTGGGGGTGGGGGGGGGTCTTGTGCCCATATGTGGCAAAAACCTTTCCTGGATCAGTTGTGTGTTATTTGTTGCAGTGATCATTGCACCAGTTCAACATTACAGCACATGGCATTGCACTGAGGACCAAGTGCTTGCATCTAAAAAATATTTTGCATTATATTGTTTATCCCACAACTTGACCTGGTTACAGCCTCAGTTCAGAAATGAAACAAAAAGATGGTAATCAATCCCTCTGTACTTCCCAAAGAGAAACACCCATCAGATTTTATTAATTCCTGGCAAAATGTTTTTAGTTTCTAGAGAGTAAAATCACAGCATCAGTCCTGATTTCATGAAAATAAGTGTAGGAAATCTTTTATGATGAAAAAACTATTTATATACAATAATACTGGAATGTTATGTCATCTGGAAATGAAAACATTTTTAAAATGGAAAACATGAGTTTCTACAGTCATTTTGGCATTCAGTCTAAGTCTCTTCTTTCTTTTTTCCTCCTCTTTTTCCTTGTCCGAATGTATGGCATTCTAGGTTTTTTACCGATGGAATAAGCAAAGCAGCACCTCAATAATAGAAACAAACAAAACATCTGTGGAGCTTTCACTGCCTTTTGATGAAGATTACATCATAGAAATAAAGCCATTCAGTGATGGAGGTGATGGCAATAGCAGCGAGCAAATCCGAATTCCAAAGATTTCAAGTGAGAGCATTTTTGTCTACATGCTATCACCAGGTCTACATGCAAAGCAAAAAATGGTGTCTTCTCTCAGTTTTGCACTTCTAAATTTTTGTGTTTGCATATGCATACATGCATTCATAAGGGAGAACAATTTAGCATTGTTCAAGTTTTGCCAGACGCCACCTCTTGAACGCCCACCTCAGAGTTTTCTTATTATTGTTATGGATGGCTTGGATGTTTTTAGACATATATTGTTAGAACTGCAGTTTTAAAAAGAAAAGATTGTATTTGTTATTTTAGAATACTGCAAGAGTGTTAAAATTCCTCTGGAAATTCCTCTAAAATATTTCGAAGTCGCTTATAAAACTAACTAGATAACATTACTCATTGTACTAGTAAAGTAACCTTTTCCCACTTAGTGCACTGCTTTCAAAACATATTTCCCCTTGACTATTCCCCCATGTTAGAAGTAGGTGGATTACTCATATGATACATCAAAGCTAAATAGTCCTTTTCTTTGTATATTGCATATTTAAATGATAATGCACTAATGTGTTATTAGAGTCAGGGCTGGATTATGACCTTTAGAAGCACAAAGCACATAAAAGATTTTGGTGCAACACTGGCTCTTTGGTTTAGAAATGGAGAGGAGCACCACCCCCCATAGTCGGACATGACTAGACTTAATGTCAAGGGGAAACCTTTACCTTTACAGTAAACTGGAAAATAATTATACTTTACTTTCTTTTTATTTATTTATATGTGAAAAGTTTCCCCCTACTTTTTCTAATTGCAATGCCCTTAATCACAGGAGCCCTTTTTTGTGGAATCTGGTTCGAGTGCACCATTTGCAGTTTTGCTCCACATGGCTCATGGTAAATCCAACAATGGAAAATTTCTGTGCTGCCCCCTTCTTTTGAAGCCCTCAGCCTATGCTTATTATTCTCAATTGTTAATTCAGCCCTGGTCAGAGCAATGGATGGAATTTACTCCAGTTGGACTATACGGTCCTCACACTTCTGCAGTTCATACATTTTGGGAGAAATCAAAATTTTACAGGCAAAATCAAATACTGCATAAGCATATATGCTTCCATTTATATGACAGGACCCACACTCCAACTGATACAATACAGTGCAAAAATTAAAATATAAAAATATGCTTTGGCTAATGGAAAAAAACATGTAAAACATGTATGTGCATATGAAAGTAGAACTATTGATTGGAGAAATTCTCCTTCACATTTCAAACTTATTTGGCCTTGTTGACTTAATACTAAAGCTTTTTATTGACTCTGATGTATACAGCACATATTTTATGATACCGAGGGCAGGATCATTGTTAATTTGAGGAAAAATGTAATTTGTTGCACAGGCAGTCTATGAAGCACAGTATCTGAAACATCTTGATTTCTTCTTTTCTTTCTCCTAGATGCCTACGCAAGAGGGTCAAGTGCTTCGACTTCCAATGCCTGCACCCTGTCTGCCATCAGCACAATAATGATTTCCCTCACAGCTAGATCAAGTTTATGACAAAAAATATCTAAAGGACTTCCTGTTAATGATATAACTAAGCAACATTTAGCTAGTTGTTTTGAAGACACCCAGTACTAAGTAATATTGTTGTTCAAGTACATCTTACTACTGGAAAAAATGTTTTATGCTTCTCTAGGAATGGCATTATACGGTACTTCCTCAAAGCAAATATAGCTTTGTCTGAAGTTTCCTTGGAAACTCTGCAATGCACTGAAAACATCCGTAATACGATGTTACCAAAGCAGTTTACATATGTCCTTATATGCATATTTTTATTATATATTTAGTGTTTTATAGACTTTTTTAAGGTTAACATATGATGTAGATATTAATTTCCTTTCCCCTCTGCTATAAAATACTGATGACATTAATCTTGCAAATATATATTGTTTTGGAATGTTTTATGGCCAGAAGGTCAAAGTCCTCAGTAATCAGTTTCAGATTGATTGTATAGTTTTACAAGAGTGCATATTGATGGAGCTCTTTTGGCCTTGATCTCTCCTCCAAAGCTTCTGGAAACAGAAAGGATTCTCCTATGTTTCTATGAAGCCTCCTCTTCCCTCCCTTCCTCTCCTCTTGTTGACCCTCAAGCTGCACACACAGACATTAACACACACACACACTGCTGATAAGGCAAGGCTCTCCTCATGGTCTTGTTTAATGAGACACTCTTCTCCATAGACTGCTTTCACAAGGAAAAGATGGATGCACTTGAAGCATAGGACATATGCCCCGGGCTCAACCACTAAACAAAGAAGAATGAATGCCTTTGAGGATCCCTCTGATATAAGCAGAATGGGAATGGATCCAGTAGTCTCTCTTCCATCCCATACTTTTCCTATATAGGATTTCATATATTTTTTTTGGAAGATCAGATGATTAAAATAAATTAATGCATTTGCTTTCAGGCTGTAAAGTCAAGCACAGAATAATCATCTAGGTAATATTTTGATGATGCCTATCAAGATTTTTATCTGAATGTACTGATTTAGCTTTCTTTAACATTTAACAAATATTGAATTAATGTTCATTCCATTTAGCTGTCATCACTCCAGTGGTAAAGTAAAACCAACATTGTTATAGCAGAGAACAGGATTCCAAAAGTGGTAAAAATCTGAAATTCTAACAGCTGAATTTACATTATTCTGGATTTTCACAATTTTAATCAGGAAGTCTGCAAATCTGGGAAACTTTATATGAAAGATAGCTATACTTTCTTGTCTGAGCAAATATTTATTTTGATAGATATACATGGTAACTATAACTCTCTAAAGATTGCTTTCATGCACAGTTATCCATGGTTATAGATTTTGTTTGACTATAGGCCAAAAACTAACGATAATAACATTTCAATGAATTTCTTCTCTTACAGTGCATGTCTGGGTATTTCCATGCCCTTTAAAATAGTTTTTCTCTTTTTGATGATTTCCAATCCTCCTGGCTTTCTGCTATCATAAGAGATCAGAACCCGAAATTGTATGTTCTAAAGACCAAGGTTCCATTTTCTTGACCACATTGTCATACATATCTAGTGTGTTAGTAAAATTGAATTCAAATGTGAGTACAATCTTTCATGGAGTCATTTCATGCAGCCTCTGTTCATTCCAGTAGCGCTTGTGCTGGAGCATAGTTTGGTGAATGGCCCAACACAGTGGGTTCAGTCTGCATGCAGAGGTTTTAATGTAGGCATGAAGTTCTACACAAGTCAGCTCATGCGGAGCTTCTGTGTGCACTAGTCTAGCAAAGTCCTAGATCATGTCCAAAATTTATAAGAAAAATATATTAATACAAAAGAGATTTCTTACTATGGAAAATTTTTTGTAAGTATGCTGAGATAGATCAATGATCATTCAAAGAATAGACTTTTCTATTCATTTTTTCCCAAGTTTTAAAAATGCACAGCAGAGGTTTCTAATTTGTTCTTCCGAATAGCTTAAATTTGCCTGTTATTTGTCTCTTTGGCTTCCAGAACAATACAAGCTAACTTTTAAACCTTCAAAAATATATTTATTAAGTAATTCATAACCAGGATTCCACTTGTGTAAGTCAGGGGTGTTAACCAGAGAAATATTGTCAGTATTTCAAGCTGTGTTCCTTTCTTAGTTTGATATGGTTACTTCTATGTAAAAACAAAAAACTTTAAAAAAAACTGCAAAAGAAAGAAAATGAAAGAAAAAAAAGCCTATGTAGTTTTTCTCCCCAGTGTAAATGATATTTATCAGTGATCTAGCAGATGTAATCTTTTTTAAAGTTATTGGTAATAAATATTCTGTTATTTGTAAAGATTCCTATCTTTATGTGCATTTTTCCTTCAGACTTGGTGGTTTGTGACAAATAGCTTCACATATGCAGTACTGCCTCTCTTGTAAGTATACAAATTTCCAGGGCCAGATGAGCTACATCTAAAAGATAAAGAATTGGCAGAAATAATCTCCAAACCACTGGAAATAATCTTGGAAATTCCTGGAGAACCAGAGAAATTGCAGCAGAATTGAGAAGGGCAAATGTTGTCCTCATCTTTAAAAGGAGGAGGAGGGAAAGAGGACCTTTACTGACATTAATACCAGGAAATATTCTACATCAAATCATAAAACAGTCCGTAGGAACTTAGAAAGGAATATTGTAATCACTAAGAATTCTTGTTTCTCAAAAACAAGTCATGTCAGACCAAATCTTGTATATTTTTCATCGAGTCACAAGCTTGGTAGATTAATGGAATGCTGTTGATGTTAATGTATCTTGGTCTTGGTTTTTCTCACAAAGAAGCTAATAAAATGTGGGGTAGACAACATAATGTTAGGTAAACTGAAAATTGGTTAACTGGCCAAACCCAAAGGGTGCTCACCAATGGCTCCTCTTCATCTTGGAGAGAAGTGACCAGTGGGGTGCCACAGGGTTCTGTCCTGAGCCCAGTGCTGTTCTTTATAAAGGACACAGATGACAGAACAGAAGGCACGCTTATCTAATTTGCAGATGACACCAAATTAAGAATGGTAGCTAATATCCCAGAGGGCAAGACCAGAATCTTAAATTACCTTAACAGATTACAGAGCTGGGCCAAAACTAGCAAAATGAATTTCAACAGGGAGAAATATAAGGTATTCCACTTAGGCAATAAAAATGAAATGTACAGATATAGGATGGCTTGAAAACAATTCATGTGAAAGGGATCAAAGTGTCTTAGTAAACCACAAGCTGAAAATATGTCAACAGGGTGATGCAGGTGCTAAACGGTCAGTGTGATTTTAGGCTGCATCAATAGGAGTATAGTGTCTAGATCAAGGTAAGTCATAGTATCGCTATATTCTGCTTTGGTCAGCCCCCACCTGGAAAACTGTATCCAGGTCTGGCCATTATATAACTATTTAGCAAAGGGGAATGGCACACAACATCCAGTTACATGTCTTTGAAATTCACTAAGGGTTTCTTAGCACATCTGTTATGTAGGTATGTGTATGTGTATTTTCACTGAGTGAAATGTCATACAGGATTCCGATGTAAACATGCAAAGCAATTGCTTACTTACTTTACTTAGGCGATCCCTCGTTGTCCGAATAGGATGACCCTCCAGAGTCAGTGTGCAGTGTGCGATGGGTCTGTAGGTGACTGTGGAGCCCTATTCTTGATCTGCATCTTCTCCCACAGTGAGGGCATTGGTTTCCAGATAGAAGGCGGTCCCGGTCATGGTTGGCTTGATGTGCCTTCCTCTTAGCACGTTTCTCTCTTTTGCCCTCCATTCGTGCCTCTTCAAATTCTACATCACTGGTGGTCCAGCTGGAGGGCTCGAGGGCCAGGGCTTCCCAGTTCTCAGTGTCTATGCCAGAATTTTTACGGTTGGCTTTGAGCCCATCTTTAAATCTCTTTTCCTGCCCACCAACATTCCGTTTTCCGTTCTTGAGTTCGGAGTAGAACAACTGCTTTTGGAGACAGTGGTCAGGCATCCGGATAATGTGGCTGGTCCAGTGGAGTTGATGGCGGAGGACCATTGCTTCCATGCTGGTGGTCTTTGCTTCTTCCAGCACATTGACATTTGTCCGCTTGTCTTCCCAAGAGATTTGCAGGATTTTCCGGAGGCAGTGCTGATGGAATCGTTGCAGGAGTTGCATGTGACGTCTGTAGACAGTCCACGGTTCGCAGGCATATAGCAGGGTTGGGAGGACAATAGCTTTATAAACAAGCATCTTGGTATCCCTACGGATGTCCCAGTCCTCAAACACTCTCTGCTTCATTCGGAAAAATGCTACACTCGCAGAGCTCAGGCAGTGTTGTATTTCGGTGTAAATGTTGACTTTGATGGAGAGGTGGCTGCCAAGTTAACGGAAATGGTCAACATTTTCTAATGTTACACCATTAAGCTGTATCTCTGGCTTTGGAGAGGGATTGGCTGGTGACTGCTGGAAGAGCACTTTGGTTTTCTCTATATTCAATGACAGGCCAAGCTTCTCGTATGCCTCTGCGAAGGCGTTTAGAGTGGCTTATAGGTCTTCTTCTGAATGTGCACAGACAATGTTGTCATCCGCATATTGGAGTTCTATAACAGATGTTGTTGTAATCTTGGTTTTGGTTTTCAGTCTGCTGAGGTTAAATAGCTTGCCATCTGTTCGATAGATTATTTCCACTCCGGTGCGAAGCTTCCCATTAACAAGTTGAAGTATCATAGCAATGAAGATAGAAAATAAGGTTGGGGCAATAACACATCCCTGTTTGATACCTGATTCCACCTTAAATGGGTCATTTTGGGAGCCATTGCTGTCCAAGACTGTTGCATCATGTCATCATGGAGGAGCTGCAGGAGGTTCACAAATTTGTTAGGACACCCAATTTTCTTGTTTTTCTGGTGGAAGTACGTGTTGATGGTGACAAGGTTGTGTTCCGCACATTTGGTGAGAAGCAGGATGCCATTTGAGTTGCTGTTTCCAACTCCATCTTTTCCTATGGTCCCTGGCCACAGGTCGAAGTCTCGCCTGACTCTTGCATTAAAGTCCCCCAGGAGGATGATTTTGTCATCCTTATGTATCTCTGATAGGACGGTGTCCAACTGACTAAAAAAATTTCCGTGATATCTTCATTAGCATCTAGTATTGGTGTATAGGCACTTATGATGGTTGCCTGTTGGTTTTGGGCAAGTTCAGTTCAGAGGGTTGAGAGTCGTTCATTGATGCCAGTGGGTGCTTCGGTCAGACATTTCACCAGATCATTTCTGATAGCAAAGCCAACTCCATGTATTCTTTGGTCTTCTTCAGGCAGTCCCTTCCAGAAGAAGGGGCAGCCTCCTTTTTCTTCCTTCAGCTGTCCCTCTCCTGCTCTCTGGATCTCCTGAAGGGCTGCTATGTCGATGTTAAAGCGTCCCAGCTCCCTTGAAATGATGGCAGTTCTGCATTTGGGGCATTTACTGTCAGTGTTGTCCATCAGTGTCCATACGTTCCATGTTCCGAAGTTCATTTTTCTTTTTTGGCTGCAGGGTGGTGACCCCACTGGACACAGCAGTCCAGTCAGGGATAAGAGAGGCAGACTATGTTTAGGGCACCTTTTCTAGCCCCTTCCCTGTGTGGGGTGAGCAGAGTAGATCCTCAAAAGGGCTGCTCAGTCATGGATACAGCTGCTGAACTACTCAACTGCCTCGGACCTTGAGGTAGAATGACTGAGTCCGTATCCACCGCCCATGTGCCAGTCTGTGACTAGGGGCTTCCAGATTTCACAGTCCTGCCCCCGTCGCCACTCGCTGATCGCCATGGGACTTTTGTTGGTTTGTTTTTATTTTCTTTGGAAGACGCCTGTGCGTGGGTTTTTTTAATGTGTGGAGGTCAGTGCACAACTGATCAACACATAGTCTTCACAGAGTGAGGCTGCCTGTTGACCTACAGAGACCCTGTGAATTTCATAGGGTTTTCTTATGGAAGGAATACTCAGAGGGGATTTAGCTAGTTCTTTACTCTAAAATATAGCCTACAGCACCTCGAATTCATTGGTGGTCTCCCATCCAAGTACTGAGTAAAGTTTTCCCTGCTTAGCTTCCAAGATCATACAGGATATGGTGCCTTGATAGTTCATGGCTCTCCATCAAAAGTACGTTAATACAGTGACTTCAAAAACAGGCCTTAAAACTGGCAATAACCTTTCCTTTCTATCCTAAACACTACTTCATATTATCTATATTCCCCAGAGTGTTCTCTCACCATACGCTTTGATAACTATTTACATAATTTCCTACCAAGACAATGTCCATCTGGTTATTGTCAATAACACTAAAATCCAGTGACTGAGTTTCATTTTTATTTATGAGACATTAATCAGAAGCACAAACATTTGTCCAATTCTGCTGAGCTAATATGCATATCTTTCATGTTTAATCATACTCTGTGGTTATGGGGCTAGTTTGACAGCTGAGAGCGGAGCATTACAGACAGTTTCTAATCATTGAGCCTGGTGTCCTGCTACATATCTATACAAATACAAAACAAATGCTGTACAATCCCTGTTGTAGCTATCTACTAAAGATGGTCTGCAGCTCAGAATGGATTAGCATTCTCAAACAAGAAAAAATGAAGAACAAAACAAATGGAAATGCATTCATATCATTAGCTTTCTATCCTATACTATGAATCTATTTTTGGTGCAAGGAAAATGTGCCAAAATCTTCAACCTAATTATATGCCACCTAATCACTGGACAAATTGCTACATTAATGCAAAACAGTTTCCATACATGGCTTTCCTTGTAATATCTTAGACCAGTTGAGCAGCTTTTCTGCTGCTCATGAACTTGGGCAACAGTTCACACATTCATCCAGAGAGCGGGCTCCAAAAAATACAATAACAAAGTAGCTAAGCTTACTGCTTTTGATAAAGAACCATATTTGCAAGCAAGGGCTTGCCATTCCATAACTGTACTAATTTGAGCTCTGTTGGTTTTGTGTTCAAAGGAGATAAAAAAACTCAAGAAAACTTAAACATCAGTCTCTTGCTGTTCATTTCAAAAACCTTTCTTGCTACAATATCAGACCCAACAATAAAGTGAAACCTTCCCACGTACCTTTCAGGATCTTCACTCTTGCTTTGTTTCTTTCCTCATTCACCGGCATTAACCAGTTTAAACACTGATGTGATTCTGGTAAACATTTGACATATGTTTATTTTTGTTGCTGTTCATTGCTGGCAAATTTGCTTCAATTTATGAGATACTGAATGAGAGTCCTCTAAGATAGCCTTGCTTGGGTAGTGCAAACTTAGGTCAGTTGTGGCATAATTGAGTCTTCTTTGACAAATGCATTCTACTTGATCATGTTTT